GTAAATGTTGTTTCCCTGAAGGCCGAGTTATCTTCACCCCAGAGGAAATAAGATGAAATTTATTTCACGATAACGCGGCTGATATTTTGTGCTTCTCTTTCGTGAAATCTAATTGGGAAAGTATTGTAAGCCTCGGTCAAGTATAAACCTATTTACGATCTATGTCTTGATTCCAATCCCCCTGAGGCTAGCTATTTTTCGAAGTCAGCTTGTACTTGAAAAACTGATGAAATTAACCACACAATGAAATTGCGTATTGAGCATGAAATTCTTCCATTTCATAGGAAACAGTCATTTCTAGAATGCTCGAAGTTAGATGAACTTGTAGGAAATTGGGGTGAATATCTCTAAGCGGGGTAATAGATGCTCATTCTTGTTGTTCCCCAACCTCGTCCCGTAGCTTTTGATCATGAACTATATAGGTTTGAACAACACTATTAGCTGAATAGAGTGAAAAATTCGTTTAGAATATCTCGCTCTCAATAGAATAATCTTGTACAAGGTTATAGTGAAGTGACTGAAAGTTTTATACGCTAAAAAGCTACAGGTTTCACGAAATTCTCCGATAATAGGATTACATCAAAATGTACCAACTGTCGTAATACATTCAGCAAAAGTTGCCTCCATCAACAATGATTGCTCGATGGGACATTCTATTACCCTCTGCCGCTTCACTGTTGTATATTGCTTCAAACACTATCTATCTATCTATCTATCTATCCACTGATTACTGGTTTCTTTAGTCAATGGAAACTAGTGATAGTTACAGTAAAAAGGGCTTCGTTGCATTATTTCTTGAAAATTACACTCACATTTCCGAATTATAAATACACTGCGCAGGATCTGACGTTTATGGCAATTAGAATTAACCCATTTATGTATCCGGCATTGTGGGCTTCTATGAAATCGTATGACGTGCCGTTCAATAACCGAAATATCCTTATTTATATGTAACAGTCAATGCTGACTTTAGAAAATCAATCGCTGCGTTTGTCTTGTATGCTCAAAACAGAAATCCATTTGTTGAAAACATCTTCATCAACTCAGTCAGACATCAATTTCATGTAGTTTATGTGAACTCGCAGACCCTGGGGTTTGTGTAACTTGTTCCCTTCAAGCTTTAGCCAAAACCCACACTGATCTGTCCACAACCCATAGTCCTTTGGCCTAGACGGATGAACTTCAGTCATGTTGCTGTAAGCTAGTCAGATCAAAAAGAATATCGAAATATTCTCAGGTCAACGGATTTTAAAACATGTTATTTTCTACAAATGATGATTATTCAAAGCTTGGTTAAAGAAACGGGAAGATATGACGATCGCATGCTGTGCAGATGACTCTGTTAACTGTTGCAGTAAACTGGGGATGTTAATGGAGCTTTATTTTTATGAACAACGCTTATTTCCCTCGGACTGTTAATGTATTCCTCTCTCTAAAACTTAGCTCACTTTAACTGGAGATACCGAACGGTTAGCTTTCACTTTTTAATGTATCACCTTTTGATCTTTGTCAAAGCTTGTAAATGCAAAACAATATACCATTTGTGTTTCATTTGTGATTTTTACTTAAAGGAGTGGCTCATTTTAGAGTTCGTTTATAATACTGTCATGCATTCGATCCGTCGGTAATGGGACGACGAAAGGACACTACGATAGGCACCAGTAATATTTGTCCCATCTCGCCTACCGTTGTACGCACCTACAACACAGCGACGGGTAAAATGGATAGACGGAAAAGACCATGTGCCTTAATCTAGTCATTTAATCTGGTGTTGGGATTCCTGCTAACGATAAAGCGAAGAAGGCCCGGAAATCTCATTGATACGCTGTCATTTATGAATAAATTAGGTGGCCTTGTGTGAAACAATGGAGCAGGTAATCTGAATGACAAAATCCCCGGATAGCAAGGTATAACGGAGATAGAATAATATTATATTAGGTATACTTTAACTAATAGATGAGTCTGCACTGCTGCGCCCCAGGCGTTAAAACCACAGGACAGTATTTTGGAAGCCGAAACTACATAGAACACTGAAAGTAAGCAGTTGTTAGGCCAACTGCAGAACATTTGGCACGCATCAAACATGGAGTCAACGCATGAAAGGCCGCAACAATGCACAGGCCCTACAACGAGAGGGAAAATCTATTTACGATAGAAATTTGGCACAGCACATGAAATATAATCCCAAAAGGTTTTAAGCATATGTTCAAGCTAACAAAAGCATAAAAGAAAATCTGGGCCTCTTGGAGAGCAGTGGACATAGCGTAGCCACATCAATCCAATACAAAGTGAACGCCCTCCTACCTGTATACCGACAACCGGTGGAAAGGGATACTTATTGCACCACGGTTATGGATATACCGATGATAAATGAGATGTTAATCAAACGAGGTGGAGGTCAGACAGCGTGCATCACTTAATCGGCATGAAGGCTGGCAGGATCGGATGGGACACATTCTGCTCTACTTCAGCCACCAGAAGGGCTTTTAGTATATTTAGTCACCGGCCTATATGAGTAACCTCTAAAGCTGGTAGTATTACCGGAGGACTGGAAAAAAGCAACGGCTGTTGCGCTATACCATTCCGGACCTGGGCATAAGGTTAGCAACTACCGACCAGATAGCCTGACATATTTTCAATACCATTGCTTGGAACGGATCGTCAGGATGAAAATATGTAAGCATCTAATTACACACGGTTTGTTGCTACCAGCTCATCATGAGCTCACAGAGACAAAGTCACACCCTACAAACTTACCTACCTATTTGGATGAGGTTACTAGAAGGCTGGGCGAAGTTATGCAAGTGAAAATCTACTACCTTGATTTCTACAAAGCCTTCAATCCAATCAGTCATATACTTCTAGACCGCAAGCTATAGGATATAGGAATACGAAGTGCAAAAGATTCACGTCCGTAACACAAGGCCTGAAGGCAGAGCATAATGCCCGTGGCGAACTTTTCAAGTTGTGTGCTACCACTAACTGTAGAAACCCTGGGGCTTTTGTCTCTATTTATCAAGCAATTATTAGCTCGCAGTTCAAATACTCTATTCAAACATGAGCCCAATACTATTGGAAGAACATATCACGTCTGGAGACGATGTAACGTCTTGTCACCGGAATAGCGGCTAGATAAAAAAGGGAAAAGATGTGAACAGCGATTAGGAATCATAATCTATTCTCGCTGGAAACTAGACGAGTGAGAGGAGACGCGAAAGAAACTTCAAAAATAGTTAGAAGGATGTCAGAGCTTCACACAGATGACTTATTTACTGCTTCTTGTGCTCAAAACACGAGGGTTCATGACTGACTTTTGTGCATCAAGGCGGAAGGCCTACGGGTTGAGGTTCAAAAATTGCGGCTTTCGGTTAAAGCTTGTTGGGTAAACGGTGCAGTTTCGAGGGTGAACGAGAAATATTTCAGATTTTATCGGAAGGATTTTCTGTCCAAGCCAGGCAAAAACACAAAAGTAATACGCATCTGTGACGTATCTAAACGAGGATAAAACAGCTGTCCGCTCCTTAATTGAATTTGTATGACGGTGTGGTTGTTTTCTCCTTAAATCGAAACCTTCACATCCCGAAACAAATGTGGTCCTGGTGTTTTACCACCCGAAATCCCCACTATAATGTGAGAAGTTAGGACCAATTCGCCGTAGACTGTAGTGATTCAGAATTTCTTTTCATCAAATTGAAATGGGGCTGATTTTACCATCTTAAATGTATGGAGCCAATAAGAAGTCGATTAATCATCAAACAAATAATGAGCTTCTTCTTTTCAACTTCTTTATTGCAGTGACTTTTATCGAAATTACCACAATAGAGAAGTAGAAAGTAATTAATGATGTAATTCTAATGGAGTACCGGGCATATTCACAATAGCAAAAGGATCTGCACGTTCAGGAGAAGAAACTTGTATTAGTCCAATAAATTGCTAAATTTCTCGTGGCATATTGAGTGTTTTTTGCAACACGTTATTACAAGCAACCCTTAGTTCGGCCCACTACACAAGAGGCTTCTAAGTGAACACGTTAACTAAAAATGAAGTTTACACCAGACATTTATGTACATTTGTGAGTGCGCTTTGTATGAGCTGCGGTCTTGCGCGAACACAACTTATTTGACTCGTGAGAGGGTTTTTCAGTGGAATCGAACGGAACGGGAGTGGGCTGATGAGTGACCGGGGTGTGGGGTGTGAGGAGCGAATTCAACAAAACGGAAATTGGAAGAATTGTGGACTTGAAGAGGAATAACTAAAAAGAAAATGGTTTTATCTGCAAAGAAGCATGAAGAAGAGACTATTTCCTTTCAGTGTCTTTAATGGGCGCAGTTCGCTCTGCTTGATGTTTACTATTCATCAAATGAATAATTGTTCGGAAGAATGGTGGCAATGAACTTCACTGGAAGTGGTGGAAGGACAATGGGGGAATGGATTGCGAAACACTCACTGGTGTTTATGTGTCTGTATGTCTCTCTTGGAAAATACATCTGATTACTGGGACCACAAAACGAGTGCAAACAGATTTGTCTCATATTGCTGAATCAGGCAAAATTTTCAGTGAACACGGGAATATCAATACATCTATATACATGCTCATATATAATCTTCAATTATTAAAGTAAACATGATCGACTTATGAACATCAAAATACTCATACGGATGCACACACACACAAAGGTGGACAAAACGGTTTTACTCGGACGTCGAATGTGATAAATGTTTGTACGTCTTGTTTTCAAAGTATATTTATCGATCTTGGGCAGGGGTAGGGCTAACCGAGACGAAAATTTCACGAAGACGTTATTTTTCGACAGAGATCACTGTTTTGCTGGACACTGGATTTTAGGAGGGTAATGGTGTGTGTGTGTGTATGTGTGTGTGTGTGTGTGTGTGAAAGAGACGAAAAAACAGGTTCACTTTTCATTTGAGCTATATATGTTACTGAAAATGATAAAAGTAGTATTTGTGTACGGTACTGGTGGCAGCTTTAATAATCCACTTTACCCGCTCTCGTTTTCCTCCTCTGCGAATGTGCCGTTCGTCCTCCCGTGAGGGCTTCTTTTGGACAGTTCGTGTTCCAGAGAGTAGGTTTGCATATTCTCGTCGGAGTACAGGTCATCGGAGTCACCTCTCAGTGTTGGTTCACTGATTGTAACCTTTCCACCGTTTCTATCAATTCCGTACCAGTAGTCACAAGTGCATTCCTCTGCATCAGAGTCCGGTGAATTAGTCCCCTCGTCCAAATAGTCTACATGAACTAATTCACTTGAGTGACCACTTTTGACCATTGTCTGAACCATTCGCGGGGATGCCACTGCCGTGGGAATATGCTCTGCGTGCCGGGCACGTTTCTTCTGACTTGGTTTATACGATTCCGTCAGCTCGGCACAATGCGATGGGTAGTTCATTGTTGGAAATTGGAAGTAGTTTATTTTGGAAGAGTTCATTTCAGATTCCACCAGGTTACGGCCGTACGATAGTTCGAAGGGTGGATTGGGGAAATTAGGCAACTTTCCCGCATGAGTGACATAGGAATACAAGCTTGCCAGCTGGGCCGGGTTTAATGCTGGAGAATGGTGCAGTTTACGACCACGGCGCTCCCGTCGTGCTCCACTAGAACTTATCCACGGCATTAAACCAGGGTAGGGGGGCATGATTGTCGGATTGTAAATCACGCTATCCGTTTCGGAATCTATCATAGCCGATTCCGGGTGTCCTCCTTGGACTCCACGACCATGTCCTCCAAGTGCGGGAGGTATCATGTCTGAATCCTGAGCATTTTTATTCACGAACACGTCGTACGTTGTTTGGTTACCTTTGGATGGTCTCCTGCACGGTCTCTTCTTCATTCTTCGTAAATCCTTCATTTCTTCGTCAGGTTGTTGTTCAACCGGTGTCTTCCATGGACTTCTGTGGGATATTGGAACTGCAGCAAATGCCATCTCTTGGTGTATGGGTTGCTGTTGTTGCTGCTGATCATAACCTAGAATGTTGTAATTGAATAGTTCAGCTTCATTTCTAGCCGCTTGGTTAAAGAAAATACGTGGATCGTTGCTGGAAACTAGATGTCTCATATGTACCGGTTTTGGTCGCCCCTTGGTCTTCCTACGCAATACTTCTCGATAACACAATTCGGCTGCCTGTGGATTAAATGACAAAGGACCGAAAGCAGTTCTCAAATCAACTGTTGATCGGCTGCTGTATCGTCGTGACTCATCTCTGGCCAAACGTGAGGATCTATTGCGATGTGGCACATTCGCATTGACCAAACCGCCATTCTTGTGACACAAAACTGACTTTTCCTGTTCCAAATTGGATAACCTTCTGTTGTGCTTTGAAAAACCTATGTGTTGCTCGATATTTGCTCTGGGACTAGCGAAAATTTCCTTCCGCGTCTCCAGTTCTACGTGCTCGTGCGATGACTTGAGAGAACTGGATTTATCCATAGGTTTACCTGTGGAACTGTCACCTACAGTTCTGGGTTTTAAGACTGGCTTGGAGCCAACCGGATGAGAGGTTGGTTTCCACAATGACTCTGGTTCTTCCATTCCACTAAGTGAGGCTTGATTCTCTGTGTTTTCCGGAGGATAAACCGGTGGAAAAACTATATCATTGGCTGGCATTTCCACTCCATCAGAATTCATCAGTGAAGTTGGTACTTGAGGTGAAAGAAGCCAGGGTGTTTGTCTGATTAGTGTTGTGTTTTTCATACGATGATTGGAACTAGCAAGTGATGAGCTGGGAGAGGATCGGGTGAGTCGAATCTGTGAATTNGGGGTGGAGGCATTTGCGAAGATTGTTGTAATTGTGGCATAGATAGTGGGCCAACGCAGGGATGTTTATTCGCTATAACGAGCGGACTGACGATGGACCCGGAATCACTCTCAGCTTCGGCCATCATGCGCATATTCCTCGAGTCCTCGTGTAACATATTCTCCTGTTCCCGTAGATAATGTAATGTGCGATAAAACGCTTGCCAATCCGGTGGATTCATTCCAATTTCATTCTTTACTCGCTCAGAATCGATTCTATACAAAACCATTCCATTCAGGTTTCGGTCTCGAATATTGGTCTGATAAATGTAGCGATGTTCTGGCTCAATTTCCATAATATTGGAAATTAGATTGCAAACATCCTCCACAGTGTATTGACTGAGTGGAAGTGGTTGATCCATTTTCTGGAATCAGAAGAAAAAGATCTGATAAAGAATTTAAAGTTGTACTGAAACAGGAACGCGATATAGTGCTAACGTGTCACATGTACTACTGAAACTCTTTGATAACATTGTGGAGATGTTTCATCCAGGCCAGTCAAGTTTAGTATTACATTCACACCGATCACGTCTAAGATGGAAATCTGATGCGGAATGATCAGAGTATCACACTTGACCACCACGTTACCACGGTTGGCTCAGGCTTCTTCACTGCGATAAAAGTGCAGCTTAGAATAGATGTAAAGTATATTTTTAATACATAACAAAGCTAACAACTTCTGAAGCAACACTATTTGCGCTAATTGCAATTAGCAACTAACAAGTCTGACAGAAAGTACAATAGTGCGATGAAATAAATAGGGCTAAATTACTTGCCTTGGTTCTACCTTGAAATGAAGTTCTAGGAGTGTTTTCTACACTAGTCATCAGATCAGTACCACACGGGAAAAATTGCCCACTTTGAGTATCACCGGACCCGAGCGAAGTGGACATCATCATGTGTGTCAATCTTCCTTTCCCCGAATTCGATCGACTCATTGAGTACGGTCCGATCGAACCTGTGTTCTGATTTGCTCGTCTAAACGGATCCACTTGTTCCTCGACCAAAGTTGTTAAAGCCGGGGCAAACGGTCCAGAATGTCCCATCCGTCGATCATCCATCACCGGAACACGATCTGGATTCATAATCTGAGCTGTAAAACAAACGTTAGTCAATCAACTGTAGTCAGTCCAAAAAAACAGGTGATTTCTCAGTTCATCAAGTTGAACACCGTGGTCCTAAAATATTTTTTTCAACCCGATCATCTACAAAGTTCATCGATAACAGTTTTCGCATAAACCTAGTCGCGATTCTCTTGCAAATCGTCTTACGTCACTGTTCTATCGGTTCGTGCAACCGGGATTTTCGTACCACATAAAGAAGCGATTTTAGGGTTGACGAGCTTTTAGTTTGTGAACTTAAATCTTTCATCTCCTTTCACTTATACGAAGTTAAATGAATGAAAATGAATGTGTGCGTAAGGTATTATTAAGTTGCGAATAAAAACAAAAGTTACTGACGATAATGGCATCACTATATTGTGTGTTGATGACCGTGGAAAGCCCAGGACTATTCTTGCAATTAGGAACCAACGAATAACACAATGCAGACCGTGTCTTCTGTACAACTGCGTTGACTATTCATTTGTAAGAAACTGCGTTGGAGCCTAAAAGGATAAATGTAGCCGAATTAAAACCGCTCGGGAGTTTGACTGTTCTTGGTGCTCCATCTCTTTCGAGTACAATCAAACAGCCGTCTCGTCATACGAGCTCTGTGGTTTGAATGCCATCCTGTGCCATTGTGACCAATTAGAGGGGACTTTTTGCAAATAACTTGAAGTTAAAAATACGGTGTGGAAGCGGCAGCGACGCAGTATTGTAGGAAAGTTGATTTATAAGACTCATTTGCCGATATATGAAAACCAAAGTGCATATTCTAATCTGAATTCTAAAACTAAACACCTAGACGATAATCGATTCAAATATTTGTGAGCTCTGCACATACAACTCATCGTTGACTTTGATGAGTGCATCTGATCGGCACCCGCAAGTCAATACGCAGTCAATAGCAATAAGTACACATGAGACCGGTATGTTGATGAGTGAGAAGGCATGATTATGAGCAAGTACGCGAACAGCCAGGCCTGTAGGTCAACAATTGGTTCAAGAGTTGCATTCGAATGCAGTCAAGCATGCAAGCAAACAGACAGCGAATTAATCAGCTCGGGCAGGTCGATATCAACGTCTGACGGGTTCGAGCCGATTNTAATAGATTAAGTGCTCGTGGCTTCAATGTGTGTGTGTGGCAGCATCGGACGAGCAATCAATCTAATAGATCATAAGCCTGAACGGAAAACATTGCAATTCAGTGCACGTCACAACAGTGTCCCATTCCGAAGTCCGTCGGTCCGTGGAAAGAAAGTTCAGCTGACTTCATTTCACTCTGGTCACAAAAACGAACCAGGGGATAAACTGGAATGCTTAGCACTGACTGTTGTCTAATCATCCCGGGGAGATTCATACCGGGATTTGTATTTGGATTATTTGAAATGATATAGGTAATGAAGTGAATCACAATACTTGATGGAGAGAAAAGTTGGACCAGAAAGAATGGTATTGAAGAAGCCATATTATCTGAATTCTTTAGCCCCTCCGGTGAAATGACTTAACTGTGTTAGTGCCCTCTCACTCTTCATCAACTCCAGATGAATCCAAATCCAGTAACTATCCGCCACTCCAAATAGCCAGTTCAACCAAGCAACCTTAAACTCGCGAATCATAACACTCGAGTTTCAATCTCATTCCATTTCCAGTCATATTAGATACTATGCAGTTATCGACCAGTTGCAGGAATTGAACTCCACCCCTGTCAGGTATTTTCATACATTGTCTATTCTAATGGGATCTTTCGTAATTTGTCGATCTCAGTTGCCAGTTTTACCAGCACATCTTGATGCCGGAACTTTCCATTAGGTAACATATTTTATCAGTGGGAGTTGTTTTTTAACACTGTCAACTTTCTTTTACTGTTTCATTCTATACAAAAACTACAATTTTTAAACACATTTGCACGTATTTTGCCATAGAATTAGTTACTCAAAGATTGTAATCATACGGGAATTAAATACAAAACCTTACTTACGATCTTCAAACAAAGCGTATTCTCAACTTTTAGTTTCATACAAAATTGTGTACAGAAAACTAGTGAGTTATTTTGTTTAAAATAGCGAAAGTTACTTATTTTACGTTTGATTCATTTTTGAGTTATGTTCAAATGTTATTTTCCCTATTAATTCATGGAAGAACAGTGCGGAACAACAAATGGGGACTACTTTATGCATATGTTGGAATTAAATGTCCGTTCCTATATAAATCACTGATTCACTTTACTGCCATGCTTCACTGTGAAAAGTGAAAAGTGTACCACCACTTGCCTCGAATACAATGGCGCAAAAATGGATTGTGTGTTAGCACGCAACAAATCAGCTTTTTCAAATTGCCGATAGGGATCGGTCGAGATGCCTTTGCTCGCAGGTATGCCTCCAGTCGATCTAGGTCGCGATCATCTGTGACCAGTGGTTCGAGTTGATCGATCGAAGCGGCCACACGCGCCTTCACCTGAAAATGGGGTTTCATAGATTGGTGTCATGTCATGCATTCCAATGATCTTGTTAGGTCACGAGGTGGACAAAACCGGGAAACTCAAAGTATATCTGTTTTGGGAGCTGAAAGTTGATCTTCAACAAAATGCCAAAACCTTGCTAATCTATTTACAAACAGCAATTGGTTTTGAAAGAAATTTGGGCAAATTCACTTCAAATTGCAAAATAACGCGTATAAATGAGGTTAATACTGTTAGATTGTTAACCTGCAAAATGTGCTCTCGTGGAAACGAAACATTTTTTTCTACTGAGATTATTTTGACTAATTTTGATTCTGTTATTTTGATTTTAACCTGATAGAAGCCGATTCTAAAACGGGTTAGTTATTCAAGAATTCGAAAATCGAGGAAATTGTTAATTCAGTTTGGTCCCTGAGAAATTGTTCTATGTTGATTGGCACAATGAGATAATTATTCACCAACACACAAATGACTACATTTGATTTGTCGACGCATTACTTTTTAGATGTTCCATCGGTTTTGTATTGCTCCGTTTCCGGACTGGGATGCGGATGTCTGCATTTTTGATGGACATCGTCTGAGGTTGACTAGTGATTTCACGTTCCTTTTCTTCCGTTATGTTTCAATACATTGATGGAATCACGTTGAGACGTTGCAACTTTTGTAAAACTTCACTATTATTGCAAACACTTGAATATAACTTGATTCCAAGTTCTTTTCATTCATTTACTAGGCGGATTTTTATTCCGTTAGGACTGCTTATTTAGCAGGGTGGTAAAATTAAATTATTATTATTAATTATTATAGTGAATACGTACTTCTTTCGCCCACTCTTTTATAAGTCAATCTTGCTGTATCAATCGCATACAAACCGTTGTAACTGAATAAACTACCGCGTGTCAGTGCCATGCCAAATACACATTGGCATTTGGATGTAACTTTGAAAACAAAGCATCCAATTGAACATTTATCTGTGTAGTCCACACAGCTTCAAATATTTTATATATATATATATCAGGATTTTGTATAAGCGTCACAAGTAAATGCCTACCCCAGTAACTGCAGATTCGCATAAACTCTATCATGGTTCAATTTGGTGCAACAATCCGCTCAATGTGTGTACCATTGGCTGATCATTTGGTTAAACGGCTGGCGGAGGAAGGGTGAGAGCGGGGAAGAATTCGATTTGCAATGCGAGGGTGCACGTTGCACTCCCAGCGGGGACATGAAAATAGAATGCACTACTGATAATTCTCATTAAGGACGAAACCGCGTTTATGTGAAACCATTGGGACCGTTTCACAATTCCATCACACAAAAACACTCAAGCCTGTAAAGCTGTTCCCCATTTTTTCCAAGCAAAACTGGATGTTGACAAGTCTTTAATCTCTCCTATAAGCATTGAGTTTTTTCAGATTTTAATGAAAAAGATGAGTGAACTGTGGGAGGATTAAGTAAATAAGAAACTAGCTAAACGCTACCGGATAGGACTCCGTTATCTCAGCAACCAGACTCGCTACCGACGATACTTGTGGTATTTTAATTTGTTTTCGTTATACGCATGAAAAGCACTGCAAATTCCACGCCAATTTACAACTGCATTAAGCATTAAATCTGTGAATTCTTTAGAGTCGATTTCCAGCATATAATAAGCGGAAAACCAACTAAAACCAGCCCTTTGAAACTGCGGCGAATTGATCATTTGGATAGGCCAGTGACACAATATCAGTCATTTGGGTTTGTTTCAAAAATGCGCTCATAAACACCCTCAAACAGATAGCAGTAATCACATTCTGATCGATATTTTCATCGAACTGATAGGCGTTGCCCTAATTCTATCTAGAAAAGATAGTCATAGATTCTATGAACGGTACAGCAACTTCGCTTAGAATCCAGTGGCGTCCGTCGAGGAAAAAAGTAGGTATTTTGGTAAGTCACTGTCGTCCGAACTGGGAGAAATCAAAAGGAGTTAATTTGACAAACTATAGTGCCAGTTTGTGTGCATTCTCAAACCTTTGGTTGATGGTGGCTTGGTTCCAAACCCAATGTGGCATGCCATTTTGGTTGGGGTGTGCGAAAACCAAGCTACATATGGGGCAAAAATAATCACCGGGACATTGTACCAAACCCATAGTTAACGATCGTTGTTGTTTCTCTGACTCCTTCCGATGATTTGTATCTAATGAAATGCAACGAACATCCCCGACAAGACTTCGGGATTTAGAAGGCTGTGGTGACTTAAAAATTGTCCACCAAGAGAAACAAACCGATTGATTCAGCGTCTGGGATTTCCGCGGATGTTTTGCAGGAGGTGAGTTGAGGAAATCACTGGATAGCAAATATGTATGTTCTACTCAAAGTTAATTTGACAGGACTGGGAATTAGTGAACAACTATTTCATCCGGCCTGCCCATGGTACGTATCTATCAGACTCACTGAAATTAAAATCAGGGCTTGTGATTGATAGTTTCTTTGATTTGTATGAACTTCAATACTTCCAGCATTTACTAACAGATTTCATCTTATAAGGTAAGCAACAATGAAAAATAAATCGTCCCATGTTTAGTTCGGGGCTCTGGGATATAAATGAAATACTCAATGGCATTTTTTTAAGCTTACAATATTCTGAAGCCCCGGTTTGAATCTTTTTCGATAACGCGAGTTGCATTCATTTGACATCATATCCTACCATACCAAAATGAGATAAGTTTTACTGTGAACAACTCTAATATCGATAAGCTTTCCTTCATTATAAAATCTTTTTTTCAAAATGTGGCATTTATCACATTGATTGTGAAGCAGTTTATGTTGCTATTACCCAGGTCATAAGTTCCCAGCATCAAAGTCAGGCAGTGGCACTTCCTATCTCGATTCAGAGGTCTTCGTAACCAACCCCTTCAATACAGTGCTTATTCTACTGAAGCATTTTGTGGTCTGTCGATCCAAGTTCCTTGCACTGGATTGCTGTTTCCTGTAATCATTGTACAGCCGCTATATAATTCTTTCCTTCTTTTCTTCATCATAATATGAATAAGTTAACTCCAAAAATATCCGTTCCCAGGATCTTCTTTTGAACCGGTACGATTCTCCCTTTCCCCAGCACACCACTGTTCTGCCTCTATCTCTAAGAATGTTGTTTTTCGAAGCTCTCTGCTTTCCTTCGCCCGCGATACCCGATCTCAAGCGTAATGTCGTCGTTATCAGGTGACCCTAGGTGTCTGTTGTAATTTTCCGTTGATCCAAGAAACCCGAAAATATGTGATATTTTTCCTTAATCTGTCTTTCTCTCTCCCCCTTCCCCCGCCAACATCTCTTCAAGTTCGGAATGAACCAGTAGGGCATGAAGTAAATTGGATCCCTTAATGACTGTGCACTCGTCATCATGGTGATCGGATTTACTGTAGGTGATGTGATGAAATACTAGGCGTTTTACGTCTTAGTGATTTGTTGGTGTATTCCTACAAGACAGTGCTATAGGTTTACTAGGCCTAAACTTTTGGTGACTATTTGCTAGTCACGAGAATGTTGTAATAAAACCATGTGTGCAAAATGCATCCACACTTACCTCTTTAAAACATTCAATCACATTTACGCAAGTTTGATTGGAGATCGGTTTTCCCGTGCCACATGCCTTGCCTTCGACCAATCCTTCCAGATAGACCACCAACCAGGCAACATGATAAGGCCAGTATTGGACAAGGCTGATCCATAAAACCATCTCTTCTATGGGCACCTCGAGATTACACAAACGCAAAAAGCGACCTGGAACAGGAAGAGGACAGTTGATTGATCCTTGATTTCGGATTTATGCAATGCAGTTTTCAACAATTTGCCGGCCACCAAATTGCCCGGCATTATTTCTCAAAAATGCATGCATACACTCCAGGCTGGTTTCCCTCACAGGCTTCATTATTTCAAACGCTTTGCGACAAAACATGCATATATCTTCTTGTTCCTGGACTGATTGGTGACTGGCAATTCAGACGCGTTTCAAGATTACTGACGCTATAATGATCATCGATTTGCATAACTGGCAATAGAAGAGCTTTTTTCACTGAATAAATGATCGCGGACGACCAGTGCATTGTCACAGGACATGAAGGGTATCCACCTGACAAGTCATCTCCATAACAAAAGGTCCGTGAGTGAATCGATATGAATATGCTGATCCTCTCGTCATTTCGCTCCGCAGGCATAATTCGGATTTTCGATTCCTGGAAGAAAAGTTTGCACCGTTCTTGGCCGTTCTATTCAGCCCTGAGATTCTTCATTGAATCATAAATGAGACTGCAATGTCCTCAAGTCGAAGGAAGTGGTGCAACTGATTAGTCACTTTTATCCATACTCAGCTTGGAAGATCTAACCCATTCCTATGCGACCAAAATGATGAAATATTGAATAATACAAGTCATTTGGAGTTCAAGTCAGTATTTGCAGTTCTTACGGAAAATCTCCGTTTTTTTATTTGTACTTCTTTTTATTGAATATATAATAATACACTTCTCAGGAAGAGAGATGCTACCAATCAAAAGGTTGCCATGCCATACACAAATGGGGAAAGTCAGGTGGTGCTGTATGTGTGTGATTCGAGCACATATGCTCCGGGTGATAATTGGGTGACGTTACCACCGGGCCACCATTATCCATCTTTCACATTCGAGCAGGAGAATTTTAATGAAGATAATTGTAGAAAAACTATTACGTTTTCATAATGATTGTTGTCATTTATGAAAGACTTTGGAAGGATATTCTCACAGTAGTAGTTTAAGATGAAAACAATAAAACAACTATTTTTTCCAATCCGTGATTCAGTTCTTTTTTCATATATTCAAATGAGGTTCCCATTCTATCACATTTTACTATGGTTTCTGATACATTAAAGCGACTTAACAAGTGAATGTTTGTTTGGAACTTAAAACAACAGTTTGCTCAGTACTATAGACTCTTCACATGCACCACCAACATCCACCCACACTTACACCGAGGGCATAAACTTGTCCGACCAGACTGGTTCATTCAGAACTAGCCGTCGCGTCCGGTTGTGCTCATCACCTTTGTCCGAAATCTCGAATCTTTCCGGTGCGCTTCATTAGGGAATCGCAGTGCTTCCGGAGACACGAGAACGCAATTATTTCCCGAGATTCATGCCTTGCCCCCAAACCAAATTTCGCGCTACTGATCTCAACACACACACACACACACACAAACAGGCACGGAGAGGAGATGCGCACACACGTCCACGCAAACCCGGTAAAGCTCATCATCCGCCATGATTCTTCCCTCCACATTCACATCCACCGGCCGATTCACCACCTGGTTTCATTCCAATTTAGCACGCACATACTACTGCGCACGTGGGTAACGGTAGAGCCGTACATCAAGCATCCCCCCATCCTACTCCCTATGCCCTCTCCTATCGTTGCTGCACACACACACACACACACACACAAGGACAGCCTGTTATCACATCAGGTTTATTGTTTGACAGGGGTGTGCACGCACTAGCACACGTAGGCACCGCGAAAAACAGACGATTGCGTGTGCCTACGGAAGCATGTAAATCAAGCATTGTGAAAATTAATGAAGTCCTTTTTTTCCAATTATCATTTCTATCTTGTCAGGACGGAAGTAACACGACACTGCCGAATAAAGCACAGCTTCATACGACCTGATGTGCGAAGTCCTTAGTGCGATTGTGGTGCACACACACTCGCACACGTGTAGAGCGCATTCGAGTAGTGTCTTTACCTATAATTAGGGAGTGGGACGAAACGCATTGGATCAAAATACAAATATACTCATACTTTCAGTTTTATCATTATTAGTAATAGTTTCGGTCACCAAGTTAGTTCCTCCATGTTGTTGTTTACCATCAAAATATTTGTCGAAATTAAGATAGTCTATACTAGAACCGAAAATGGTTCAATAACACGACTTTGGTGGGAGTGAATAACCCTTTGCTGTTCATCGAAGCAAATTTAACCAAAATCGATTTGAGGAAATCGAAACCATAATCAACGTAGGCAGAAAGGGATTACTCGAAGCTCGTAATTCAATAGTTGTTCGTCCGCTGATATACACAGTTCTTTAAGGTAGTGTCATTTTTACGGGGCGGGGGGAACGGTTCTATTCTGAAGAATGATTCATTGCGAAAAGACTAACAAAACTGAAATCCAAAAGTCCATGGAAGGAGAACCAACGCATTCAAATAAGCAGTGCTGCCGTATCCTCTCACACAGCATGTTTATCTAACCAAACGCAATCATTGTTGATGGGATTGGGGAACCGATTCATTAAACCCATTAGAACTTTCGCAAGCAGTGAAGATACTACCGCAGCTTGTGAGCCACGTGCAAACAAATCAGTCAGATTGACGTACAATTGAATGCAAATGGAATATTGAATGGTTCAACGGATCGGAATTCCCCGAAAAGTCAATAGGGTTTTGCAGAAAAACCTTTGTGTGGTTCAACAGTGTTACCGTGAATATGTGCCGTATTGAGTGGGCTCAAAGTCATTTACAACAATGTGGCTACATTGGATTACATGTTTGTGAACATTCATTTGTTACAATCCAATTCCCAATTCATGAGTTATCACTGGAAAACAACCTGGGATACTGGTTACCAGAAAAGTGGAAAGTTGATTCGTGAAAAGAAATATGAACTGGCATCCCGCGCGGAGTGGGCAAGCAAGACCGATCTCTGAGTTATTTTCACAGTGGATCACCCACGGACCGTATAAGAGACGTCCGAGAGTGGGTACGAAGCCATTACGGTTACTGATATGTTCATAAAACATCACACTAGTCAGCATCACTCCGTTCGAAAGCGAAGCAACAGAAGTATTCACTTAGTTCTTTTGACTATATCATTGTTTTTTCCTTACAATTTCCGGTTATTCTTCGACGTTAAATTTCGCAATTAAAGAACGATGGAGCATGAATACCAGTTCTGTCACGGAAACATCCACTGACGAACTGAAAAAGCCACGGTGCTTAATGCGAGGCAACGTTGCTGCAGCTGGATCGTCAACGTGAGCTGGCTATCGTTCACCATGAAAAATGGATTCAATTATTGTTAATTAGACAGAAAAATGTCAACTTTTTATAAATATATCTGTATCTAACCTGCACACAAAATTATCAGAGCGTAACGCTTTCAACCGCAACATGACAGGCACGCAATACGCGGTCGAAAGGTCATGTCGAGGTCAACCGCAAATCGCGAGAAAGACAAAGCAGGTTGACGTGGTCTTCGAGAAAGGCACCACAAGCAGGAAGTGCGTCGTGATTTTAGTTATTTACTGATGGAAATTCGCATCAGATTCCATGGTCTGCGCTGCCTGATATAAATCTGTCACGTTGATTTCATTATGAATTAAGGGAAGGAAACGAAACGGTTATTTTGCACTCCCATAAGAAATCCGCCTCAAGGGATTCCGTTGGGCATTAAACTTCGTCAAAGATTACACATGTGATTCAGTCAACTGATACCTGAAACGACTACTATGGTTTATAAAAAACTGGGAAACTAAACAACGTACTGAACGTTAGAATGTGTTATACAATGATGAGGAAAGTGTGATGCATGTAATAAAATTTTGTCCATCCAAACTAGTCCGCCACTTACTCGTTTCAGTCGGTTTTCTATTAAACGGCTTATGTGAAAATAAATCGAATATTTCATGATTAGACTTTGAGTGAAACAAATAGTTCTTTATTTTCTGCCTCGGTAAGTTTCTTTGGGTGAATGATGTGGCATCCTTACTTAATCGTTCAAGCGTGTACTTTACAAAAAGCTTCCGCGATTGGGTTCAAAGCCCATCTGTTCTTTTTCTCATTTGAATAACTTGAAATCATCTTTATTTAGACTGAGGCGGGACGAAGGAAGCTGACGACATTTCACGATCAATCGACGGGAAATTAGGCCAATAGCGCTGATGCAGGAATAAGCCGAAGTGAAAAAGGGGATGCAGAAAGGTTCAATATTACGCAATTGAAGAACTGCTTTTTTATCTGGAGAGAAAGAACGAGAAAACGAAATCATTTTGCTTAGAAAATGGCATGAATTCACTGATCTTTCAACCAGCCGAACTGCGCTAGCTACAGCGTAAGAGCAAAATATGCCAAGCTGGGGGACGAGATATTTTTGAATACTCAGATTTTGACATTATTTTTGGTCCCCCTATCAGAAATTAGTCGAGGGTACGTTTTTCCAGTGTGTATAATGGATCTTTGTGGCTCCCAGGCCCTTCGTTAGCAGGGATAGATTGACTCTTCATGACAATCACACCTTTGCGTGATGTTACTTCTATCTAATCTTTAATCTTTAATCTTAATCTTTATATCTGAGTTTAAATGGCTCTACGGAATTTCCCTTGACTGGTTTCGCTGTTGGTGCCGCTTATACGGGTCAGCGAAACCGTTCGAGTAGTTGCTATCAATCTCATCATCTAATCCACAAAAAAGGCTGAATCAAAACAGGGATACACGAATAGATTGTTTGTGAAAAGCTCATGCGAACAAATATCCTACATATGTACAAATCAGCAATTAATTGTAAAATTCAAGTTGGACGTACACTAATCTGAAGGAAGTGAGAGAAGATTACCGATAAACTGATAAACAACCGAGGTCATGAGCATAGGCCTCCAAGGAATCTTTTCCCTTTTATTTAACGCTATTCTTTATACGGATATTCCGCTTTTGGTTTTTTCACCTAGGGTATGATAAATTCCTGCTTTATTGGGACACTTGAGCAGTAATATGAACCAGATTATTACCTGAAACGCTTCATTACCCAAAACTCTATTGTGAAACCTGAAAACATCCGCGCATGTGATTTTCAAGTTTTGATAGGTGACGCATCCGCACCGGCCTCCGGACAGTAAACAAATAAAAGCATTAAAAAGGCTGCAGTAGCGGTACTCAATACGTGATAACAAGCGTGATACAAAGATGGTCTCTACATTCAAAAGATTATCTTTTTAATTATTTACCAATTGTCTAAAATGGAACATAACATGCGAATAAATTGAGTAACAAAGAAACCGATTTTATTTAGAGATAAGCAAAGTGAAATCTGAAGTATGTTTAAGCTCTTGCTTATTCTTCAATAGTCCCACGCCCTCCATCCTTATCCGCACTAGTCTGATATGTTTACCCAGTCTAAATCTCGACCATTTCCTCGCCTCATATGAGCAATTAGAAGCGCTCAAGAGAGAGGGGGAATGTGAGACAAACACATTTACGTTGTTTGAAAAGACTTTCACCTGGTCCGGATCCAGGTAAGTGTGCGATGTGCTCTTGTCTCCCTCTAAATTATCGATCGTCAGACTCCAATAAAAACTAGGGGATTGCGCAAATTTGTCTACTTACTACAGAACGTGTACATGAATGTTTGTGTGTATATGTATTGGCGTGTCTGTGTGTTGTATCGATGGAGAGAATCAAGAAGCATCTATGTGTCTCTCCATCCACACGGCTGTACACTCCCAATTCGTGCACGTGTATAAACTGTATTAAAATGCCATAGTCCCTTAAAAACAGGCCGAATGGAGGTAACGGAGAACTGAGCGAGTAGCTAACATATGAATTAATTTTTTCTTCGCCATGTTATGGTACATTCAATTCATCTTGAAGGACATCCTGTAATTCCAATCGGTTGTCATTATTATTATTATTATTATTATTAATCACAGAGAGAAAAGGCACTGCGTGAGTGGTTTAGTAGAACGGACTGTAGTGTTCCTGAGGTACTTACTTGTAAATGAAGTAGCCGAGACCAACTGCTTCATCAGTTTTCCGTTCCAGTCGGCCAACTCGTGATCACGCATAAATAAGCCAGCAATTCCTTGACAGGATTCCACTGATCGGCTGATAGTGGAGTTACTCCGAGATAATTGGCCGATGATCGGTTTATTGGGGCTTTTCTCCTGTCCACCACGCAACGGAGCCACACTTCCACGATTTCCAAATATTGATCTGGGTGTGTACATTACACCAGAATTTCTTTTAGCCTATTCGACAGAAATGATGGAGTAGAAATTTAGTTGATCTCCTTGTAAATAAAATACAACCATTCAGTTTTGGGTCGTCATTAACAGGCTTTTGAACAATCCGTAGAATTGATTAATTTTTATGGTAGCATAATAATCATGGGGTAAATCATTCAACGTCTTGTGCCTGCTGTTTAAATCTTTATCGATTCAACCAAGGGTGAAGAAATGAGAACCAATCGTCGCCAAATGCACGGTATTTATGGATTGAATAAAAAAAAGCAGTAGTCCAGATAAGCCTGCACTCCACGTACATGCTCTGAAAGCTCTGCTTGGATAACTTTCTACTAGTACGTGACCAGCGCAGCCGTTCAGGAAAAGCAAAGGCAAGGAATTTTTAATGAACGATCAGTAAGGTACAAATTCATTGGCATCCATAATCACACGAAGGCAGCTCTCACTTACAACGTGCGACGGTGGTAAAAATAATACAATACGATTACCACCCACCTTACTGTGTTTTACGTCACAGGGCCTCAAAATGACTGTGAATTCATTTCTTAGTTGTTTGACTAGTAATTCTCAACGAGCAATCTATCAATCGGTTGGTCTTGTTTTTACTGCACCAACAAATTAGATCTTTTATTAAACAATCATTTGGAAAGGACAATCGTGTTTAAACACTTCATTAATCGCATCATTGAAGTCATTCATTAAGTTAACTTTGCTTCAACGAATCCATCTTGCAAAATTCACTACATCATGACTCCGTAAAATAATTGTTCACGAGTTTCATTGGTAGACCATTCGGATTTACCTCGTGATCAAACGGTCCCCTTATAAATTACCCCAATATGGCTTTTCTGATCGTATAGTGTTTTGATATCGTTACACAGTAAGTGATGGAAGAATGACAACAGAACTAGTATCTCAGATGTTGGTTGATCTAAAAGTCAAATGTAAGCTGACTGCATTAATCAGTTGTTTTAGTGGAAAGACTAATGCGCACTTGTCTCTCGCTCTCCAAAATTCAGAGAATTTGGGTAACTTAGGCTTGTACAAACAACTCCAGGATAGCTAGAGGGTCTTCTGGTGTTTGCACTTCAACATCTTGATTCATTAGCTGGTTGCGGGCGGTCAACTAATTTTGTCAAAGTGTACTAAAGAAATTGGGTAAGTCAACACTAGTTATTTATCTTCTATAGTTAGTTTATTTTATGTAAACTGGGACAAGCGATGACAGACAGATAAAGTTAGAGACAGACGAAGGCAAATGACACCCGGCGGTGTGAAAGTGATTGAATTAGTGCATACTTGTTTTGAGGTGTGTATTTGGTACACACTGTCTATATTATCATGTAGTACAATATAGTACCAGCTCGAAGTGCTTTTCGAGTTAATCCAGTCTACGGTGCCAAATTCAACTTGGATTTTGGTGGACAGACAAAAGATATCGCCACAATGGTCAATGGATTTCTGTGACTTATGCTCTTTTCGATGAGCATAACGATGTTTCGAATCACTCTAATGATCATTTGTACACAATGCAAATGCAATGGTACCGAAGGTACACACCCTATGGACTCTCAAGAACCTAGAAGACGATTGTGCACTTCTAGGAAAACTTGCCCAATCTTACACATACTAATTAGTGAAGAGACACAAAAATGGTCTTAGTTAGCGGATTTTTCTGAGGTTGCTAGCAGCTAAATCACAAGTATCACCATTGAATCATAGACATGATTCCTCCAGGTTGGTCTGAGAAATACCGGCAGAAACGCAATCGGTGATAAGTTCATTTGGTCCAACAACTAATACTAATTCGGAATGACCATAGTAACATTTCACTATTTATGCTCAAGCTGCATTTCATACAGTCCATCATTCACGCTACTAGCATTAGACTCAATTTTTACTCTCATTGGGAGTGGATTTCCATTGTGATGCGGACTCCGTTCTTCTCACGTGGGCGGTGTGCACGGTACCACAGAGCCAGCCAGCTCATTTCAGGTCTGACTATAGATTTGACGACTGAAGTCTGTTCTGATGTCATCTTCAGTGGTAGTTAGTCAATGGTAGTGTTAACACATGCCTTCCATGTGATGGGTCCGAACGGGGCAGTGTATATGCACAACTGATGAGCACCAATATAAGCGAAACTTGAATCGAGTGCTTGTGAATGCATGGTTGAGTGGAAGACCTGAGGATTGTGTGCGAAAGTGAAATTTGAAGGATGACTAATTTAAATCAGTATCACTTAATCCACACCACTACTCACAAGCAACTGTAAGTTAAATGTGATAGTCATTTAATTTGACCCGAAAACAAGGAAGGGTTAAAATACCGTGATCTTTGTTGAGAGCCTTCCATAAAAGCATAAATAAATAACCGCGAACAAAATAGGAAACATTGCCATATAAAACTATTACGTAATAAAAAAAGTCATTTGGGGCTTAATGTATAAGCAACCAGAACGCATCCAATATATTCTCATGCAAATTCTCATGGGAATATTCAACTTTTCAAGTGAATTTCAGTGCTAACTTTTTCTCATGTGGTATTTTCTGTTTTCAAAATGCACCAGCAAGCATAAGTTTCCGATGTTTTACTTGACAGTTTGTAAAATCACTATATGAAGTAGTAAATCAATATATTCGCTAGGAGTATCCAAATTACTGTTCTGCTGCTATTCTGATATGATGATAGTAAACGCGCGTCTAAATAGCTGACTAGTAACGGGATGGACAATACTGGTCGGTACCTCAAAGGCCTCAAAAGCCTGCCGGGGCACTATGTTGCCTACTCGATCTGCGTTCTTCTGTGTTGAATTCACCACAAGACGAATCGAGTAATATACGTTTGTGTGTGAATGTATTGTTCATTCTGTATTGGTTTGCCTGTTCGTTCATCCTTTCAGTCTTCCTATCACCGTCTCTCTCTCTGTTACTCTTTTGTTCACGTTCGCAAACGGGAGAATAAACATGCGGTTCCCTTGTGGGGCGCGTAGGAAACAGTCAACATATTATCCATTGGTTACCAGTCTCCAATCGAGCATACGGTATGACCAATCAGCGTCAAAACATCCAGTGTAGCTAGCTAACTTGGCGTGACACTTGATAGGACTGCACACAAAAACCCACGTCACACCGCATGCAAATAAGGTTCAGATTCTCCACCCCAACCCAACCCAGACCACCGCTTGCCCATCCCCGAGACGTCGATGAACACACAAATGGAGACATGCTGTGGACGACCGAGCGGCAGCATGTGTAGACCGATCTCGGAGCTTCAATATCCAGGCTGGCCGGGATGGGGTAGCATGATTTGTTCGTTTGCCAGGATCACCTCACGATCCGATCTTTTCGCGCCGTGTAAGTGTGTCCACGTGAAGACACGTGTACGGACTACTAGCCCAGATCGCACATGTGTGCACCCCGTGACATTATAGATGAACGAGGCACACGCGAGTATGGGGAGGAAAAATGGCCAATTGGACCGTGGTGTTTGATTCGAAAGTGTGTGCGTGACGAAGAGGGGGGGGGGGGGGGGGGGGGGGGAGGGG